TCAGCCTCTCCTCATCAGACTTATTCTCCAGACCCCTCACCATCTTTGTCGCCCTTCTCTGGACCCGCTCCAGCACCTCAATGTCTTTTTTATGGTAGGGGGCCCAAAACTGGACACAGTACTCGAGGTGAGGCCTCACCAGTGCCGAGTACGGGACAGCAGAGACCATCCTCCTGCACAGGGGGATCCCAGAAGGGACAGGATGTGCCACACGTTATGGATCTCCAACAAGAGGATCCATGGGATACGTACAAAGCAGGGTCCACCTGGGATCAGCATCTCCCATCCAGGCTGATTTCTGGCTTGTTTGGTGGCTCCAGCAGGACAGCGTGATGTGTCCCAGGTACCCAAGGTCCTTGCTGCTCCCCTCTCCTCCAAAATAGCTGCTCCATCTCTGACTCACTGTCTATGTCTGGTTCACTGGACCCTGACCCACAGAAGGATGGGGCTCCTGGCCATTAGTTTCACCTGTTCCTTATCACCTGCATTTGTTTGTCCAGCACAAGGCAGGGATGAGGTTCAGCTGCTCCCCTTGACCTCCATCACAGCCCAACCCCGGCTGGTGTTGAAGGCCAAAGCTGTGCAGGTGACAGAAGGAAAGGGCAGGGGTGCAACCAAGGCAGTCCCACTGCCTGGCATTAATGTACCTGGCCAAGAAAAGGAACCCATAAAACACCAACTTGGAGGTGGCCTGGAAAGGTCTCAAATGAAAAAGAGTCACCAGACGACGTGGTTAGATTCTTGATGGGTAATTACACCCTGTGTGTCCAGGAGGCTGTTCCCACCTCCCCTTGGCCAGTCACACCTGCCTCAGGTGGTGGTCAAGAAGAACTAACACCAGTAGCACAGGAGAAATGAGAGGAACGGAACCCATGGACTCATCAACCAGCTGAGGGGACACAAGCTGGGTTCATCCCAGCCTTGGAGATCCGTGGGGTGACTGAGCAGGGCAGAAAGAGCCAAGAAAGTTGTGCTTTCGATACCTGAGTTTTCCCAAGCTAAGGAAAAAAACCCCAAAAGATCTAAAAGCTGCTCAAGTACAGCTACACGACTCTTGAGATGAACTCCTGCTGCAAACCCTGATACTCCTCCGGGAAGAAGATCTGATAAGAATCATCTTCTCGCTTCTCATCTCATTCTTGATAAGAAATACACGGAACCAGCTAATTTTCCCTAAGGCATATTCCTGCTGTGATGCCCCAACATGGGCAGAGAAACACGGAGGAAACTGTGCCAGGGCATTATTTTTTTTTGTCTTCAGTTCCTTATTAAGGGCAATGGTATTATAAAAATGACGACATCTGAACTACCGAGGGAAGATGGAGCAGGAAACAAAGGACACACAGAGTCCTCCAGACTGTCTGCCTTCCAGGCACGGAGGGCAAGTGCAATAGTGAAAGACACAAGCCACACACACACACACACACACCCCCCCACCCCTACTTCACGCACCCATCTCGATCCTCTAGAGCATCTCATCGTCTTGTGACCGTCCTTGAGTCATCCGAGAAACCAAATTCCTTTAGGTTTATTACAGAAGAAACTGAAGTTAATGTTTGTCCAGGACAGGACGGGCTTGGCTGGCTGCCCCGCTCCCGGCCTTATCAGCACAGCTGTGTCATGCAACACACCAGTTCTAACTGTGTTTCTTTTTCACTTAGTAATTCTTGGGGAGGAGGGGGAAATCAAGTTAACCTTCCCAGCCCCATACACGCAGCTATGAGCCATGAAATCCCTCCCTACAACACGCCTGATGTCCCACAAAGGGCAAAGAAAGGCACCAGGGATGCAAATAGCTTGTTTGAAACGCTCTTCCCGTCTTTCCTGGTACACAAAGTACTGTCCGAGCAGAAAATAAACAAAAATAAAAAGCCCTCCAGCTGCTCTCCAGACCTCGATGAAACACTCCTCATGATATTTCTTTCACCCACGCTCTTGACCGACCCTCATACTTGTGGGGTGGATCTGGCTCCAGGATGCTTGAAGCCAACAGCAGGTCATAGAATCACAGAATGGGTTGGGTTGGAAGGGACCTCAAAGATCATCCAGTCCCAACCCCCCTGCCATGGGCAGGGACACCTCCCACTAGAGCAGGTTGCTCAAGGCCCCATCCAGCCTGGCCTTGAACACTTCCAGGGATGGAAACACTCGTCATGATATTTCGCCCACGCTCTTGACTGACCCTCATACTTGTGGGGTGGATCTGGCCTGGGATGCTTGAAGCCAACAGCAGGTCATAGAATCACAGAATGGTTTGGGTTGGAAGGGACCTCAAAGATCATCGAGTTCCAACCCCCCTGCCCTGGGCAGGGACACCTCCCACTAGAGCAGGTTGCTCAAGACCCCATCCAGCCTGGCCTTGAACCCCTCCAGGGATGGAAACACTCGTCATGATATTTTGCCCACGCTCTTGACTGACCCTCATACTTGTGGGGTGGATCTGGCCTGGGATGCTTGAAGCCAACAGCAGGTCATAGAATCATAGAATGGTTTGGGTTGGAAGGGACCTCAAAGATCATCGAGTTCCAACCCCCCTGCCCTGGGCAGGGACACCTCCCACTAGAGCAGGTTGCTCAAGACCCCATCCAGCCTGGCCTTGAACCCCTCCAGGGATGGAAACACTCGTCATGATATTTTGCCCACGCTCTTGACTGACCCTCATACTTGTGGGGTGGATCTGGCCTGGGATGCTTGAAGCCAACAGCAGGTCATAGAATCATAGAATGGGTTGGGTTGGAAGGGACCTCAAAGATCATCCAGTCCCAACCCCCCTGCCATGGGCAGGGACACCTCCCACTAGAGCAGGTTGCTCAAGACATCCCATGTCCATACCCAAGGGGGACTTCGACTCAAGGCAGCTTGAAACAACCCAAAACCCACTCTGCCCTGGTATTTCAAAGGCAGCAGTACCCAGGAGCCTCCATAGCCCAGCCACATCCTAGAGGTGCTCACTCCAAAAATGAGTATTTTCATAGAATCATAGAATCATAGAATGGGTTGGGTTGGAAGGGACCTCAAAGATCATCCAGTTCCAACCCCCCTGCCATGGGCAGGGACACCTCCCACTAGAGCAGGTTGCTCAAGACCCCATCCAGCCTGGCCTTGAACACTTCCAGGGATGGGGCATCCACAACTTCTTTGGGCAACCTGTTCCAGTAAACATCAGCATCTCTGATGGGGCAAAACCTTTGCCTGGTGAAGCCATTGCTGTTACCTGCCCCTTCCTCCACCCCAGCCCTATTGCCAGGCGTTATTTGCAAGGCTGGCTCCGGTGGCCTTTGGATGGAAACGACATTTTCCACCCCGGGGCAAGGTGAGAACCTTTGGTCCCACACCTTCCCCCCAGCCAGGCCCTCGGAAGGGCTTTCAATGGCTCCACAAAGCGATCTTTTGTTTGCTGAGCAAAGGTCTGGTGTGTTCTCCATCAGCCTCAGCCTTTTTCTCCCCGTGCCTTCCTTATCCCTGTTTGCCCTTGGCACCAGCAGCAGCAAAACTGGCCCCAGAAGCTGCTCACCCACCAGCCACCACCCCAGAGAAAAGCTCTTTCCAAGAAAAGGAGTAGCTTCTCCTCACTGTCCCCCCCACCCCAGGATGGTCCCAGCTCCTTCTCCGTCGCAGGAGGAGATGAGGTTGTTGCAAAACACCTCCCATTTGCTCTGCCGTTGCGTTTATAGGGAGCCAAGTCCAACGGCAGCCGGTCCACGAGGGGCAAATTCCTGGGGCTGCTGCCTGCTGGGAAGGCAGGTACCATCCTGGGGGAAGTCCTCCTGGATCACATCGGCTCCTCCTGGATTGTTCAGGGGGAAAACTCACCCAGGACCAGGGGAAAGGACTCACCCGACTGACAAAGACACACCAGGGTGCAAACCTACCTTTTGCCAAGGGAAGGAACCGGGCAGGGGAGATCCTGCTGCACGCCCCCGTGTCACCCTGACCCCCCCAGGGAACAAGGAGCTCGAGCTGAGCCATCTCAGGGAGAGCATCTCCTTCCCGTGGCCCTCACAGCCCCAGGACAGCGGGGCTGGAAGCCAGGGAAGCTTTTTTCTTGCTGTAGGCCAGCTTTCTGATGGCTGCTACAACTTCCAACTCCCTGGCCCGCTGGCAGATAACAAAAGCCAGGTCTCAGACAGCCAGCGGGCGAGCTGGAAAGTACCACCATCATTTTTTTAACCCAAAAGCCCTGCTTAGAAACAGTTCTGTGGCACGGAACAGGCTCAACACAAAAACCACCGGGTCCCTGCCCAACCCTCAGCCAGGAAAACCTACACAAAAAAGCCACGGCCGCGGCTTAAGGTCCCGAAAGCTTTCAAAGCACACTGCTAACTCATGGGTTAATTAATTAACGAAGCCCCAAAGCCCTGGGTTACAGTCAGACCCTTCTGAAGGCTCCAACAGGTTTAGTTAGGGCTGTTGCTAAACAACCCCGACCGACCCAGGCGCCGGGGAACAGTTCACCTCTACCTCCTTGATCCCTACTCACCCCAACCGACCCAGGTGCTTGGAATAGTTCACCTCTACCTCCTTGATCCCTACTCACAGAATCACAGAAATCACAGAATCTTCTAGGTTGGAAGGGACCTTAAAGATCATCTTGTCCAACCGTCAGCCTAACTCTGACAAAAATAGACACCCACACAACAAACAAGGAGCATCATCACTAAACCACTCGCATCCCCGGCGCCCAAATCAAAACCCTGGGAGCCACGGCAGCGCAGACATCGGGGTGCTCCCCCACCATCCACGGGGATTTCCACCTTCCTAAGGCTGGTTTTGATTTTTCCTGGCTTTGGCACCATCCCCCCGAGCAGGTTCTCCCGATTGTACCTCATGGTGGAGGTGGGACTCTCCTCCCCCACCAAACTCCTGAAGGATCTGGAGCCGCCCCGCTGATTCCCGACCCTCCAGGCTGAGAGGAACGGGAGGAGGTGGCTTGATGAAAGGTTGAGGGATGTTGGCAAGACCCCCCCAAGTCCCTCCCCATCACCGACCGCCCCTCTCACCTGCCCTTGGGCGCTGTATCTCATGCTGGCCCCGCTGGCCCTGGAGCCCCGATCCATGGCCAAGGGCGGCTGCCGCGCCGGCTCAAGCCGCCATGGCGTGGTGGCTACCGGCCTGGGCACGGCACACGGCTGGGTTAGGCAAGGTGCCCAGCTCCTCCCTCCTCTCCTCGTTGCTCGGAAGGTGAGGGAAGGGAGGAAACACCCCCTGTGGGTTGTCCCCCCCCTTTCCTTGGCGCTCCCGTTCTCCGGATCCCGCAGGGAAAATCAAAAATCGAACGGCGCGTCCGAAAAGACCCCCTGTGAGCTCTGCCCCGTCCAAACGCAGCCTTTTTACCACTTTAGTAAACACAACCACAAAAATCTTTCCCCGACACAGCCGGCAGGAACTCGTGTACACAAGTTTCTAGGGCAAAGCTTTATGTACCCAAGGGCTTGTCCCTTCTCGGGTGACCAAAAAAGCATCATCCAGTAAAACCACGCTGCAAAGAGGACTCTCTCCAGCACGCACAGGCACTTTTTGCTGTTCCCCAAAACATCTGCTACCCCTAGAAGCTGCCAAAAAAAATAAATATTTCTTTTATCCCAGCCGGAAACCTGCTCCCCCAGCTGGGCTACAGCACTTCAGGAACGAGCCATTTCTTATCACAACAGAGGAGACCAGAAGCAAAACGATGAGCGGCACAGCAGTCCAGTAGAAATTCAAATTGGGCACTCAAAATGCTGCTCAGACACCAGCAACAGCTCCTGAGGACTCTAATATTTAACAGTGCCCCCAGAGAAGAAAAGGAGGGACTAGCAGCAAAGCCCTGGGTTCCGAGACTGCTCTAAGGCAGGTTTGAAAGAGTAAAATCTGCATTCCTGACAGTCTTACCCATCATTTTCCCCTTCTCTAGAAAGACGATTCCCCCCCACCCCTCCATATTTCGATTTCTCACATTGAAGAGGAAGTCAAGGCTGAAGACAGCTGGGTCAACGTTGTCTTTCCTGGAAAGGTTCTCCCCTTCTCTGTCCTACGTGGGAGAGTGTTTCTCTGCCAAGGCTGAACTGACCATCCCACCGCTGATCTGAACTCCTTTCCACCAATTACAGCCAGCCCTGAAACTGCCTTTTTTTTTTTTTTTTTTTTTTTCCCCCACACCTGAACATTTAAATTTCCCAGAAAGCTGTTTCTGGCGTGGCAGGAGCTGCCCGTTGAGTCACTTGCTTTTGTTTTCCCCTTGCTCTCAAACACCTCCTGCAGAGCACAAGTTCTCCATCCCTTTTTGCAGGTGAAAACAAGAGACGGCGTCAAGTCTCTGATCCAGCTGTTTTCTCTTTGGGTGAAAAACACATCATTCCTGTGCTCTTACAGAAACAATTATGCCACTGCTTTCCCTGTTTCCCCAGAGAGCAGCTTCCAGAATCCCACCAAGGCAGAAAATATCTCTGGATTTCAGGTATTCCCCTTTCCAAAGGTGGCTTTGTTAAGTCAGGCTGCTGAAACCAGCTGGCTGATGTCAGGAGCTGCTCTCAGCCCTGCTGATTTTCCAGCCACTCCCTGCCTGCCTGCTCCAGCCTGACTTCACTTCCCAGTGAAACAGCATATTTCAGGTATAAAGCAGCCAGTCCCAGCTCTTTGTCTCTGCAAATTTCTCCTCTTCGGCCTATCAATTCCATCTCCTGCGGGCAAGCAACCCGTGCTCTGGGATGTGGCTGACGAGGGCGAGAGGCAAAGCCACTCTTGGAGGCCTAAGGTGTCTCCTGCAAAGATCCACAGCTCTTGGTTTCACACCATTCAATTCACCAACAATTACACACTAACACCCAGGGCTTCCTGCCATTCAACCCACTGACAATTTACACGCTCATTCATTGGGCCAACCGGCTCTCGAACGAGGGGATGAAAAGTAAAAAAATCAATATATGTGCCAAATATAAAATATTTAGAGCCTTGGATGATAGGATTCTCATTTCTCTGCTGCTGAAGCAGTGATTTATTTCGTGGCTGCGTTGCCAAGTCACCACGGTCGATGAGAGCCCCCTCTTTCTGGGCCCCCAAAACACCAAAGAAGCAATTCCCAATAAACACTCTGCCACGTGCTTTGGCATTAAGACCCTTCGGGGTGTCTCTCTGCTCCAACTGAGCCCAGCCAAGTCCCCAGGAAGAAAGATGGAACCAAAACATAAAAGCTCAAGCCACTCACCCGCGTGCGATGGCAGCAGACAGCAGCAAATCTCTGTTTCTCCCCACTGATACCGGCTCATTCAATAAAAAGCTGTCACCCTCCTCCTCCTCGTGGTGTCTCTTGTCAGTGTGGCATTCTGAGAGCAGCCAAGTTGGGGTCCAACGTGCCTTTAGGAGGAAGGAGAGCTTTAGGGCACCGCCGAAATCCCAAAGCCAAGTCCTTTGTCAGGCGAGTTGTAAGAGTTAAAACCCCCTCCAGGAGAGTCCCAGAGGAGACAGGGATGAGCTGGAAGAGCAGCAAACACACACTGTCTCAACAGGCAGGAGACTTCCTCATCAGCTCCCGGCCCTGGGAAGGCCCATCCAAGGGAAAGAAGGAAAACCAGAGCTGCTTACATGGGGAGGGAAGGCGGGCTGCCTGCAGGGGAAAAAATATTCCGGTGGAGGCAGTTCCTAGGAATTCTAGCCCCGCCAAGGAGCACCATCCATCCCTGCTCCAAAGGCTTTCCCTCCCTGCAGCGTGTCCCAAGGATTCTGTTTCACCTCGTGACTCCCAAATTCAAATTTCGCCCTCCCCCCCCCAGGATTCCTGCCAGAACAACCCCCGAAACCACCCCAGCCCTCCCCACTCCAGCTACAACCTTCAATCCGGTCGGACGACTTTAGCAGCCAGACAAAAAGATTGGGAGAGAGATAAAAGCCCCACGGGGGTGTCCTGTTACTTTGCATTCCAAAGAGTAAATAAAAGGCTGATTCAGTGGGAGGAGAGGAGAAACGTCACCCAGAAGCCCTGTGGTTTTCCAGCTGAACCAGCAAGCCCCCGGAGAGAGCAAAGGTGAGCCCTGGGTACTGCTCCACTGACCATGGGGAAGAGTT